CAACACGCAATTCAGTATAGTACTCGAAATTATATCTTTGGAAATTTTTTTTCGTTTGGTCATTGGTTTGAAGTCCGAAGTAAAGATACTAATTGATATTATAAACAAGTAGAATTTTTTTTTTATGTGGGAAAATCATCGATTGATTGCTCCTGCCTAGGTGAGGCGGGAGGGAGTGTCAGACTCTTACTGACTAAAAACCACCCCGTTCCTTCTCCTGCACGTCGAGCCGGAGCCCCGGTTACCCGTTAGGTTCTCCGCGACTCCGAATCGGCATCGGCCCTATTGGGCCCCATCTGTGGTGGTCTGTTGGCTCTTTGAGGCACGCGTGGAACGCGACGCGCCGGACGCTCGGGTTTGTTTCTGGTCGGACGGGGAGCCACCCATGCTCGCCGTCCGCAGGCCCGCGCTTACAGTGGCCGGATATCGTCCCGCGATCCCCGACGCCCAGTGTGTCCTTCACGATGGCTGGGTTGCTGCTGGGATCCGCACCGATAACTGTATCTAATAAAATCTAATTAGGTAACTACTGTTTTGAGCCGTTTGGGGTCGAAACACTTGGGCCATGGGGTCCCAGTGCACACTCTGTGTTTAAAGACATCGCCCGTAGGCTTATCGACTCTACACGTGACCAGAGGGCTGGCTTTTTCTTCGGACAGAAAATAAGCATTGCCATTCAACGTGGCAATGCTGCCAGTCTTCTGGGAACTTTCCCCTGTGATAGTGATGCGGACGAATACTTTGACGCCTAAATTAAGGGTATAATTTTTGTTGTTTTCTTTTACTTTCTTTTTATTTAATAGTTTAGTTGTAGTTAATTTTAAGTTGTAAATATTTATGTAGTTATATTTAATTAGATAAGGTATAATAAATTGTAGGGACGACTTACCCATTGTTTATTATGTATTTTCCAATGACACTTGGAAATTTCAAGTGTCATGCAATCAACCAAAACAATTTCACTAAATCACGACAATTGCACGACAGCGCGTGTCGTGCAAATAATAATTGTGCAAAAAATTGTGCAAAAACGCGTGTGCGTCTTCCCTCCGCCCCGCGCCACTGCCGGGGGAGTTTTATCCAGTGAAATGCACGATAATCCATCACAAAACGAGTGCGTAAAAAAGTACGATTTAGTGCTTTAGAAAATAGCGTTTTTTGAAAAAACCACTGCTTAGATCAATTTCAAATAAATTTTATAGAACTCTATGGTAATTGTGCTGAGTCGGTACGGTCTTCGGTTTGGAGATTTTACACGATTAGTGGTATTTTTTAACACCCAAAGTTGCGTTAAAATTGTAAAGAAAAACAAAACTTTGTTGGCTCATAACTTTTTAGTAGTTTTTTTTTTATTTTTTTTGTTTCCGTACCGACAAATGTAATTACAAGATAAAACGATATCGTGTTTAATTTTGTAGGTACACATTCACACTGTCGAGTAATACCACCCCGAACTTTCTATGGAAAAAATATCGACTAGTGTAACCTTAACTCATAATATCGCGTTTGGCAGTTTAAAATAATAAAACTGTAATTGTTTAATTAACATGAAAATACCTCTAAATCTCGAAAACTTTGCATCTACTAACAACTAAATACCATGTTCAACCCAAGCAACAATTTTAGTATAATGACACAACAAAATGGGCATAAACTAAGTAACTGCATGTTATACGATATTTATACTATAAAGAGTCTAATTAAACCCTTTAAGTGAGACTTTATGGGACACTTTACGAATACGAAACCTACCTAGTAGATACTTTACGATGTCTTACGCTCATTTTGTCATGTTTATATGGTATTTTTTTTAAGGGGGGAAAATCTTCGAATGACTGCTCCCGCCTGGGTGAGGCGGGAGGGAGTGTCAGACTCTTACTGACTAAAAACCACCCCGTTCCCTCTCCTGCACGTCGAGCCGAAACCCCGGTAACCCGTTACGTTCTCCGCAACGTTTTTATGGTATAGACTGGCAAACGAACTGACGGATCACCTGATGGTAAGCTATCGGGGCCGTCTATGAACATGCAATGCCAGAAGATTATAAATGCGTTACCGGCCTTTTAGGGGTAAAGGATTTAGGGATTTGGGCTACGGTAAACTCACAACGGCGAAATACAACACAAACGTTCTGTCAAGCCGATTTTCCGTAATGTCACTCCGGTTGAGCCGGCTCATTCGAGCCAAAGCATAGCTCTCACAAATTTAAAATGATAGACAATGACTGCCTCTTTAGTCGAGTGGTCACAGCTATCACTGCTGAGAAAAGGCTAAGATTCCCTCATGGGAAAGTTCCTCCCTAAGCTCCTCGCTACATGATTTCTTTAAATAATAGCATGAACTATAGATCTGTGCTCAGTGGGTGGCAATAGACTTACCCTCTATTTCAGGGGACGATAAAAAATTAGAGGGTGTTATACTATAATATTGTGCGCCTCTTTAGGAATTTAAAGGCTAAATTGTAGACTAGACTACCTACTTTATAAAAGCTTGAAATGAGACTTAAAAACAAAGCAAGAGTCATATGTAGGCACTGGCATTTCAGAAATAACCCTTTCGCGCCCACACTGCCTAATGCAAAAACTTCAAAAACTAGTCAGTGTTCTTCTAGTACCATTATTGTAGTACGTCGTTGGGTCATTAGGCCTACATTCAAAGCCAAAGTTGAAGTGAACCTTTGGATGGTTAGAACCTCTACGTGTATGTACTAGTTTCAGGCCTTTGTATACGCCCACGTTATAGGTGGTGTTGTGTTTCATAGACAATTGCTGTTCATTAATTAAACAGTTCTGTTCAAAAACTGTTTTTGCTAACCCTGTTGATTGAGTGAGAAAGAAAGAGAGAAGTGTATAGGTCAGTGCCAGTTTGATTGCATGGTTGGCACGGTGGCTGGGCTTCTGGCTGGAACAACTCTTTGTATGATCCACAGATTGTTTTTCCGGGTTTCTTTATTAAACAACGTTTAAATAAAAAACCGACTTCAACGCCCTCTGTTTTTGATGTCGGTTTATTATACTGAAACGTTCTCCTAAGTGTAACAAAAAGATTGCTGAAAACCTCATCAAAATCGTGCATACATAATACTTACATACGGTCAAACTGAGAACGTCCTTCTTTTTTTGAAGTCGGTTAAAATAACAATAGACCAACTCAACATTCAAATTCCCTCTACCTCTCTTCATACTTACCTATCTTTATATATATAATTTTTCTGTGAGTGTGTATGTCACTGAACTTCTCTCAAATGAAATTTTTTGTGTGTGTTCAAGGGGATCTGGGAATGGTTTAGATTCACAAACCAGCCTGGCAGATGGCGCAGCAGTCGGTATTTTGATCATTTATCTATACCTATTATTATACTATTATATTATATGCAGGACAACGTCTGTCAGGTCCGCTAGTATTATATAAAAACATAAACAAAAGCAATTCATTTGGCATTTTCTCTGCAATAAAAACGATTGAATTATTTACATTAACAACGCTGTACCGTTTCACTTTGCCATCGTTTTCCTGGACATCGGAAATCAATTACATTCTTGTTTACATCAAAACTGGAACAATGTTTTCCATTCCTATAAAGTTATTTTCCTATAAGTCAGTGTTTCTCAAAGTGTAAGTCAACTCACTCAAGTATGTAAGTAAAAGCAGTCGGGTAATAAATGGGTCGCTGGGTTTTTATTAGTATTCATTGTATAGAATCATGAGATTGTTTAGTTGATTATGTGATCGCAACATGGACTAAGCTAAGGGTAGTCCTTAACGGTAGCTAAGTTAGGATTTTGGGTTTAATTCTTAGGTTCTTTTTAAGAGGGGAAAATTATCAAATGATTTCTCGTGCCTTAGTGCCAGACTCTTACTGACTAAAACTGCCCACTTCCCTACTCCTGCACGTCGAGCTGGAGCCCCGGCAACCTGTTAATATATATCTAGCTCTCTCTATCCCAGCTCCATATCTGCATCAGCCTTATTCGGCCCCATCTTAATTCTTAGGTTGTTTAAGGTATTATGAATATTTTTGATTCTCATTGAATCCTAAAGTAGTCTTAGGTGGAAAACATGCTCGTATTACATAATTATGATTTACTAAATAATAAAAACTCTTACTAAATAATGATCACTATAATAACATAACTACCAAAATAGTAAATTATGAAGCAAAAAAAAATATCTTATGTTTGTGTACATTGTACCTGATAGAAATTCAGCCAACCTATAATTAGGTTTGAGAAACACTGCGGAAAATAATTGCCTTACACATCCTTTTAGCTCATACGAATTTTTGATCTAATTACGTGTATATTGTTTCGGGAACCAGGTTTTCATTTAAACTGATTAAAACATACGATAAACTTCATTTATTTAAATAAAATATGAAATGAATGTTCATCATTACATAATCATGCTTTATTAAGTATTGCAACAATTCAATACATTACTATTATTATTTTTAACATCAATATTTATATATATTTTGTGAGATTAAATGTAATTTATTTTAAATGAGTGTGGGCATCCGAAATTGAAAGACCCAGCCTATTTCAGATGCTAACACTTTAAATGTACAGTTCTAATTAATTTAAATTATTTTGTTAATTATTTGAAATGAAATTAAATGTAATTATTTTTTAAATTATCTTTTTTATTGACTTTATACAATATTTTGAACCAGATTCTATATTATTTTAAACGATTAAAATGAATACATAAATTTGAGATCAAATAAGTATCTAAGCGTATTATGCTTTTAAATAATTATTATACATTATTAAAATATGAATAAAATGTTTAACTGTATTTTCATCCTAAAATATTAATACTTACAGTAAATATCTATTTTCATTTTTATTTTATTTTTAAAACATCAACGCACCACGTGGTTTAGCCTCATTAGAAAGTTTTTGTCCGTCCAAATGTCTTTGGGAATAAGAATGTAGCTTATATAGATAAAAGAAAATTAAAATACAGCAGTAATTGGTAAAAACTGCACACTTCCATATATAGGTAGAGTTTTAAAATTGACTGATTTAAAAAACAGACAAAATAGATAGCAGTTTAAAAATAATACAAAATCTTGAACATAACAAGTTTACATTTAAAACTGAGTTAATTTAATGAAAAAATAATTAATCAGTAAAATTTCCAACACTGCTATCCATTGCCTGTTGATTTCACAATAAAATTCCCATACAGCGGCTAACACAGTAATGTACATGTAACAACGAGATTACGACTGGCAGTCATGACACGCTTCAGCAGACCTCTTCCTTCTGCTGTCTTCTGACTCTTCAAACTCATTCTCATTGACTTCTTCGCTGTCCCTGCCAAGCCTGATGAAGTGGTCCCTCGCTCGGCTTTTCCTCTGAGGGTATCCGCTGACCACCAGCTCAGAATTCTGCTCATAAGTCTTATCATCATCAGCTGAACGTCCTAACCTGATGAAGTTGGGGTCCCTGCCAAAACGGACGAAGCTGGCGGACTTCTTTGTCATGGGGACGTCATAGTCTTCGTCGTAGGCTCGCAGCAGGGAGACGAGGTCTTCGGTGGAGAGTGTTAGTGGTTGGGAGCGACCGAAGCGAAGGAAGCTGTTACCTCGTCGGGTGGGGCGTTGGAATGCTTCTCTAAGGTCTGCTGCTGAAGGTTCTGGAGGGTATGAGCGGCCGAATCTGTTGAGAGAAGAAAGAAATGAATAAGATGTTAGGAAAATATATTAATGATTCCACAATAGCATCTTCTTCGGGATATCTGTAATAATAAATGGACTAAAAGATAGGACCATGTAGTTACTGAAAGCTAGACAATATTTGTACTGCTGATTATCAAAAAAAAAAAGGATCCAAACTAGATTTTTTCCCTATGAGTGAATACGTTTATAAACATGCTCACATACCCAATTGATGAGTCACATAAAGAATATCTCCAAGAAGATCTCTTCTTTTAAATATTAGAAAACTTAGTCTTCTTCACCAACCTTATCATACTCCGGTCGATGGCACTCCTGCGTCTGGCTTCGAGGTCTGGAGAGCGTCTGACTGGGGTGGAAGTGGCTCCAGCAACCAGCCATAATGCTGCCAATAACGCCACGGTCCGGGAATAGCTCATGATGGGATGTGGGACCTGGTGGCAAGAGAAAGATAATGATTAAGCTTCACGGGTCTACAGAAGAATATGTGATTGTATGTTAGAGACTTATCAGGGTCATTCAGGGTCTTGGTTAGAGATATCAGTATCAGAATGGTTTTGGTGTTTTGTTAAATAAATATGTGTACATATATTTATTTTATGGCATAAGCCGAGCAGACGAATCATCTGATGGTTAGTAATCGGAGTCGATCGGACACCTAGAACACTAGAGGCGTTATTAGTGCGTTACTGGCCTTCTGGGCGCGCGAGAGTAATTGCAGATAAGACCATGGAATTTTATAGCATACACGACACACATACAGAATTTTTACATAACATCACACCTTTTATCCCCGAGGTAGATATGCACATTACGGCACTTTGTGCCACTAAACAATGTAACACCCACTTTTCACTTTTATGTTATGAGCCCCATGTAATAGGGGGTGAGCCTATTGCCATATACAAGACACAATTCCAGACTCCGTGCTATTAATCAGAATTTTTGAAAAACCCAGTAAGTAATACTTTGCTATGGAACACGTGATCCCTTGCCCGGCAGTCGCACTTTTGACCACTCGGCCAACGAGGCAGATTACACGATCTACCTAATAAACGGACATATTATAATCTAGTTTGTATTGTAATTCATTAAAATTTAACATCCGTGTTAGCTAATACATTACACGTGGGTATTTGTAAGGCTTCTCATCGGTATTTATTATTGCTATTCCTAAATTTGTGATGAGACAGTTGTAGAATATGTTTAGGAGATTTATGTGAAGTACTTTTTTCTAAGGGGTGAAGTCATCGAATGACTGCTCCCGTCTGGGTGAGGCGGGAGGGTGTGTCAGACTCTTACTGACTAAAAACCACCCCGTTCCTTCTCCTGCACGTCGAGCCGGAGCCCCGGTAACCCGCTAGGTTCTCCGCGACTCCGAATCGGCATCGGGCCTGTTGGGCCCCATCTGTGATGGTATTTGAAGTACTGGGTATTGAGTTGAAGCCTAGGTCATACTGCGGTTAAACTGTCAAACACCAAGCGGTCACCGGTGACCGCGACCTATTGTTCTTTAATTGTGTCTATAAAACCGGTACTCGACGAGTTAAACAATAGTAGTTTTTAACCACATCAGTTTAAGAATCAAAATAAAACGAATACAAGCGGCGACACTTGCATTTAGTGTGACAACTGAGCTGGTCTTCAGTTCGATACACCAATTGTCTAAAATGTAACTGACATTTCAAGTTTCTTGAATTGAACGAATTACACATAACACCCAGACCCGATATTACAGATATTACAACTTTCGTGGGACATACTAAATTGATTTTTATGTTTTTCGACTCACTCACGTAACGGCTCGACTAGGAACTCGACTAGTTTCAAGCCACGCTAGAGGCTATCTAATGAGCCGCATCTAGTCAAAAAGTTACGTAAGTAAACCGAAAACATAATAATTAATTTACAACAACACAATTTACCAACACCTGAGTAGGCTAGCGTTAGATGGTTGGGTCAAGGGCCTGATGCAGAAAGCAGTACTTCTGGACACGGCGCGTAGGTATTGTCCGGAAATTCCTCTATCTAATTTGATATTACATTTTTGACTTCAGTGACATTCTTTTGACATTATTATGGAAAAAACTGTAAACGTTGTTAGCACCTGTATATTATGCATCCATGCTTGCAAATGATTAAATGAATTTGAATTTAAATCCTCTCCTCTGATGTCTCCCGTTACTGGTGGGCTACTGCTTTTTATATTCTTAAATGTTTTTTTTTATAATCAATTTTCATTTAAATATATTAACAAGTATAGAAATAAACAAATGAAATTTACTACTAAGGAGGCAATGTATGGAAGCCAATGGATGACGATAAATAAGAAGTCCGTCACACAACTAGAGGCATTATTACCATAAATTTAAAGCTGAATTTGAATTTAGATTCAAGCTGCAACCTATTTTGCTATTTTGTGAAAACGACGAACTAGTTCACCGTAATTCGATTTATTTTTAAAGTAGGTACAACCTAATCAAAACCTTAGTATTAAAGTCATTGAAGCGAATATTGTAAGTAGCTTAGTTTCCGATAATCCTCGTGTATGTATGTACCTCTGTCCTATATACGTATCATAATTAATTATGTGGTCTAGTAGAGGTAGACATGACTGGTAAACGTGGTGGTGAAGGTTTGGTACCCGAGTCAGGTATTTCACTATTTTAATAAATGAAATAAAATTGAAATTGTATGATTGTGCCCAGAGTTTTTAAAGTAAATAGTTGCACAAACGTAGTATTCTTCACCTAGTATACCTATGGGTAATTAATAGGAATGCTGACAGGGTGTGAAAATTAAAAATGTATTTAGTCTATCAGTTAGGTAATAAAAAAATATTAGACACGTATTTTTTATTTTGTCGTACTATAAGAAAACACTACTTAGATAAAACGAATCAAAGTTTAGGAGTGGGAGTTAGCTACGTCATTTTTGAGTACCAACCTATAAAAACGTATACAAAAGTGACGTTATACGACATTTCAAATAAATGCATCGTAGAAAAAAATTGTTTCTGTAAGAAAATAAAAAATACGTGTCTAATATTTTTTTATTTCCTAACTGATAGACCAGAATAGAATAATCTACCAGACGGACATTAAAAATAAAAATGAGTCATCTACCCTATTATGTAGATACACCTATCGATTCAGGAAGTTTTTTTAAAAGGTCATTTCAGATATATGAATCTGCAGTTTTATCAAATATAATTAAGTTTATTCTCAGACATACCGAACTCTTACAGCTCTTTTAATTGACTACTAACTATTAATATTTTACTGAACAAAAACCAGATACGACAATTATTTTATAGTCCATCTCTTTATTGCCTAATGAAGCTAAAGTATCAGTCCCTAAGATTAGTAGATGAGTTGGTCTAATGAGGTCCGTATCACTGCGCCACAAGGTCGCAATTCTAGACACCACGGCGCCACAGTGGGTGGACTGTCTGAGTCACAATGCAAGGACATTATAGAAGGCCAACTCCGAAAAATAGTTCAAAATATACTAGGACGGATTTGTGTGTAAACGTGTGGGAGTAAAAGCCATTTGGCAAAGCATTGAGTGTAGTTTCACTTTTACTGATTTATGCGAATTTTGTTTGTGAAGTATCATTATTAATAGTCCTTCGGTGGTCTTAACTTGGTGTGTATCTTCATGGTGATCTTACGTATGTGTGCGTTGTCTAATTTTTTATCTATTTTGTTTCCATCTGTTTGAAAATTCGATTTAAGTTTTCCCATTAAATAGAAAAATCAGTATTGTAAAATGATATTGTGATATTCGATTCGTGCTAAAGACATAATTACAAAATATCTACTATTAAAACTTATTTAACTGGTCAATCCCAAAGCATTCACCAGTCACCACTCTCTACTAACTTCATTATAGACCTTATTTTCGATAATTAGAGACTACTTTTGTATGAACAAATGATATGAATTTTTCATTTCATTTCCGAGTTAAAAAGAATTTCAATCAATTTCCCGAACAAAAGGTTAAATGTTCCACAAATAACATTGGCCCTGGTATTTCTGCTAATCCCAAGTTACAGTGGCATGAACCTCTTTAAGTGAAAATGTTATATACGCAAAATGTCGGTGTTTTTGTTCGTTACATTGACCTACAGATGTTTTGGCATGAATAGGACGGACATAATTATGTATAAATGTTTTTCACTGCGACGCAATAACAATGACTTCTGTTTTGTTAGCGTTATGCTTGTCTAGGCGTCGCGGAGAACCTAACGGGTAACCGGGGCTCCGGCTCGACGTGCAGGAGAAGGAACGGGGTGGTTTTTAGTCAGTAAGAGTCTGACACTCCCTTCCCCCTCACCCAGGCGGGAGCAGTCATTCGATGATTTTCCGCCCTTAAAAAAAAATGCTTGTCTAGGTAGGTACCTACGTGGATATGTTAGTTATTTTTGTGGGTAATGTTACTATTTTTGTGTATATGAGGATATTAATCCTTTTATTTATTTCTGTTTAATTTATATTAATAAATAGTTTTTTGTCAGTGGTGTCTAGATAATCTTAGAAAGTACATAAAACTCGGAAAAAGTCACATAATGGTACATGGCGTTGGTAAGTTTCGAACTCGCACCCTCATGTATGAGAAGCGGGTCTCTTAAACCTCTGGGCCACTACGACACATGACGTATTAGTATTTAATGATACTGAAAACTGAATTCACTTCTTTACCTAACTACTTACCTAACTATAGGTATTCCACTATAATCTTAAAAAACCACAGAAACAGTAATAAAAACATTTCCTGGTCAGTATAAGTCATCCAAATTGGAACTTACTACCAAAACCCTGAGGGATCAAGAGCATAAAGGTCAAAAATAACTTAAAATACTACTGGGTGCTACTTCAAAACATTAACGTCACATAAATAAGGACTTACGACATAATTTTATGTAGTGATTTGTTGGACTGTGGACTGCCTCGTTGGCCGAGTGGTCGCAAGTGCGACTGCCGGGCAAGGGGTCTCGGGTTCGATTCCCGGGTCGGGTAAAGTACTACTGGTTTTTTTAAAAGTAGCACGGAGTCTGGAATTGTGCCCGGTATATGGCAATAGGCTCACCCCCAATTACATAGGACTCATAACATAAATAGTGTAAAGTGGGTGTTACATTGTACATTAGCATTAAATGCCGTAATATGCACCTCTGCCCTATCCTTACTAATATTTAATATTATAAATCGGAAAGTGAGTTTGTTTGTTTGTTTGTTCCCACTTCACGCCGTAATGACTAGGTAAACCGATTGCATTGAATTTTTGCAGACGTAAAGTTAGTGGTCTGGATAAAATAATAGAGTACTTTTTATCCCGAAAAAATTTGTTATTCCCGAGGGAAAACAAAAGTATTGGTATAGATGGCGCTGTATGTATTGGTATATGTCACTTGGGCTACTTTTTATCTTTT